CCCCAAAACCCCAAAACCCCAAAACCCCATTTAGGAATTTTTTAGTTGAAATTATAAATTTTTGAACGACATTTTAAGAGCTGTTCGGTGAGGAAGGGGTTGGAGAAGAGGGGTTTTAGTGAGGTAGAATGTGGGGTTTTGGAAGGAGAAGGGAGGAAAAGGGATGAGGGGCTGGAGAATGTGTGGGGAAGGGAGGAGACTTTGTGTGGTAGGGGAGGAGGGGTCTGGGAATTTTAGGTTTAATTTTTAAAGGAATGAGCATAGAGGTAATTAGTACTTTTAAAATTGTAGCAAGAAATAATTGAAATATCCAGCGGAAGTCCAGATGAAAATAGCGGACATAGAGATTCCAATGCTGATAAAAGTGTAACTTCTTCATCCTCTCAAGAATCTTCTGAACAAGAACTTTCCTCTGTCAGCAATCACTCCGACCCCCCTGAAGACCAAGAAGAAAAGACTGAAGAAGAAGCTGAGAGTGAGCAAGAAGCATCTGAACAAGAAGAAACTGCACAGGAAGGAGATACTGAACTGGAAGAAGACACTGAACAGGACCAAGAAGAAGACATGCAAGTTGATAAAGAAGAAGAGGAAGGCAATCAAAAGGAGCAACCAGAGACTGATGCTAATGGAAAAGAGAGTGGCAATAGACAAGGCAGTCAAGGACAGCAAGAGAATAAAGATCAAGATAATCAAAATCAAGATAATCAAAATCAAGAGAATCAAGATCAAGAGAATCAAGATCAAGAGAGCCAAGACCAAGAGAGCCAAGACAAAGAAATTGAGGAAGATGAGGGAGAGGATAAGCAGCAAAAAGAGAGTAGTGAAGGTAGTGACAAAGAGGATAGTAAGGAGCAGAGTAGCGAGGAAGAGAAGGTTTCAGAAGAAATTAAGAAGAGTCCTCAAAAGAAAGCATTAAAACAGCTGACCTTAAGCAAATATAATTTGCGCAAAAGAAGTAAGATTTTTACTTAGGTGATCTTTTGAATTTTAAATTTTACTGAAGACTGAATAATTTTCCTTAGGCCAAACTAAAAGAGTAGACCCATATGATGAATACATCCCAAAGCAAAGAGCTTCATCAAAACGTCGAAAAAATTCCAAAATCTCTTCTAAAGCAAAGAAAAAGTCCAAAACCCCCTCTTCCAAAGCTGCCAACTCCAAACCCAATCCAACTTCTAGACCCTCCTCCACTTCTCACTCCCGCAAAAGAGGCCGCCCTCGCAAGAAACCCTCCACTCAAAAGCCTAAACCCACCCATAAGCCTCGTTCCAAGAAATCACTAAAGCCTCAAAATCGCCCTACTGCCCACTCTCGTTCAGATCCTTCCCAAATTCCCAGTAATAGAGGAACGGATTCTTTGTGTGCCTCTTCTTCGGAAGGGAAAGCTAGTCCTTCGCCTATCCCCAAGTAAGCCTATTTAAGAAAATGTCTTAGTGAGAACTAATTTGAGCTTTTGTAGAAAAAATTCAAAGACAGGGAAGACTCCTGAAAAACTTTCTAAAATTGAGATCCTTGAGAGACAAGTCAAAGAACAGAGTAAGAAATACATGTATATGCTCAGACAAGAGATGGATGACCAAGAGTGGGAGTTAATCTGCAAACTTGAGAAAGCAGCGATCAGTAGGATCAAAGAACCCAAAAGTAGCCAGGATGCTGACATGGACCTTCTGGTTGTAGAAAACGAGATTGGTTCAAAGTAAGTAGTCTTAGCTTAGTAACGCAGTCAGAATACGCTTTTATCTCTAGTCCGGATATAGATAGAAATAAATTAAACAATAATTCTGACCAAGAGATGAGTGAAGAAATAGCTGATACGTCTGATAAGGTTAGTCAGGTAAAGAAGTGCACTAAGTTCCCTGAAAAAAGAGATCTTTCCTTTTTAAAGGCATTAAATATCACTCAGAAAGAGTTCCAAGAAGACTGCAATAGGATTACATACGCTCCAGTGATTATAGTAAGTTTTGAGTAGAAATAACCTCTATAGAGAAAATAATGAAGATGATAAGCTCAGTAGCGCATATTGATCAATCTGTCTTGATGACGGAACATACGAAGGAGATGAAATGGTAGCCTGTTCTACATGCCTCGTAACTGTCCATCAGACTTGATACAAGAGAGGACTTCTAGCTAAAGTTCCTGAACAAGATTGGTACTGAGAAAGATGTAGACACTGAATCTCGACTTCGACCCTTCCAGAAGAAGTCACTTGTATCCTTTGTCCAAAAATTAAAGGTGTACTGATAAAATATAATCAAATGAATGATATGTGGGCTCACCTAACTTGTATCGAGTGGACACCAGAACTCTCATGGAAAGATGAAAAGTAAGCTTCCCTAACTTCTCTATAGCTACTACAAAGTTGAAGGTAAAATTAATAGGAAAAGATTCGAGCTAAAATGCTACATTTGCAAATCAGACTATGGAGCATGAATTCAGTGTGATTTTACAGGCTGCTTCAAATCATTCCACGTGAGTTGTGCAGAAGAAGCAGGCTTAATAAGTAAATTTAAGTTCATCATTCTATAGAGTCTGATATGGAAGGTTACACAGTAGATGATAGATATCTTATCTTTTGCAGTTCCCATGCTACTCATGGTTTGAAAGAAATTAAGCACTATGGAAAAATATTGACTGTCATTAAGCGTAAGGATTACAAAAAGAGAGGTCACTATTTGCTAACAGAAGAGCAGATTAAGGAGAAGAAGATCCTAGGAAAGAAGAGAAGAAAGCATTACGATGTAGAAGTAATAAAAGCTAAAGATGTTGAGTAAGGCTTAATTTTTCAGTTCAATAAACACTAAATAAATTGGGGTTTTGGGGTTTTGGGGTTTTGGGGTTTTGGGGTTTTGGGG